CACACAATCGTGGACATACTCTAGATTTAATCATCAGTAGAGGTCTAAACATTTCATCCATTGTTATTAAGGACATAGCACTATCTGATCACTTCTGTATTTTCTTTGATATATTGATCTCTGTTACCACTGAATCTAGAGCTGTCTCTGTTGGAAAGAGATGCATTAACGAAAACACTAGTGTGCTATTTAAGGAGGCTATATCTTTAACACCAAGCATTTCTGCAGACTCTGTTGATCTTCTCCTTGATGCCTTTAACTCAGAAGTTAAGAATGTTATTGATGACATTGCTCCTGTGAAAGTCAGCAGGAAGACTGGCAGACAGAAATCAGCTTGGAGAAAATCAACAGCAGTTCAGAGTATGAAAAGACAATGCAGAAAAGCTGAGCGGATGTGGCGGAAGACGAAACTTGAAATGCTTCCAGTTATATTTAGTATTGATTTCAAAGTACTTTTACTCATTTATAAATCACTCAATGGCCTAGGACCTAAATACATAGCAGATATGTTCACTGAATATAAACCTAACAGACCACTCAGATCATTAGAATCGAGTTCACACAATACAAGGGGAGTCCGCTTTTAGTTATTATGCCACCCGCAGTTGGAATCAGCTTCCAGAAGAGATCAGATGTGCTAAAACATTAGTCACATTTAAATGCAGACTCAAAACTCATCTGTTTAGCTGTGCATTTATTGAATGAGCACTGTGCAACGTCCGAACTGATTGCACTATATTTTATGTATAATCATTTTCTGTTCTTAACTGTTTTAAATTCATTTTAAACCTCTTAAATCAATTTTTAAATCTTTTTCAATTCCTTGTTTTATTGTTGTGATTTAGTTTTTTTTTTCTTTTCTTTTATGTAAAGCACTTTGAATTACCATTGTGTATGAAATGTGCTATATAAATAAACTTGCCTTGCCTTGGTGAAGCAGGTCTCCATGGAAGGCCCTTACACGGAGGAGGAAGATGAAGACAATCAGTCTTCATCCTCAGGAACTCTCACAAGCAGTGTTCCAGAGGTAAAACCCTCGAAACCTCCAATTTATCTCCCAGGCTTTACCAAACCCTGAAAAGGGAACATTTCTGAACTCTTGTCTGAACTCTGGACCTCTTTGCTCTGGCTGTTCATTTGCATGTGTTTAATTTTTTATTTATATACATTTATGAAAGGCAGCTATTAATACAAATCTAATTATACGTCTAAATATATATATATATATATATTTTTATTTATTTTTAGATAATGGTTAGGTCTTTTTTCTATAATTTCACAGGAATTGGTCGTGGATGCTTTTGCTAGTCTTGGAATTTTTGTTGGTTATGTTTAGAATTCAGTCAGCTTTGCAAACAAATTCTTTTGCTTTTCTTTTCTGAGGACTAATGCGGCACTCATTGCAGAATGCCGAATATAACTCAATTTCTTCTTTCAGTAATAGCTGCTTTCTTCATTTGACTTTAGGGAGTCTATTCTTCTAATACACTGGACTATCATCTCAAGTCATTTCTAATCATTTCATCGTCTCTAATCATTTTTCCTTTTTCTGTACCAGGACCCAAATGAGACAATAGAGGAGGAAGATACTAAGTCGGGCACTGCCTCTGCTGTAAGAGATTGTGTCACTAAGGTAAAGACTGACCCCAACAGAGTTATTTGACTTTTTCTCTTTAATGGCAGGCAATATGATTTATTATCATTGTTCCTCACATTCCTCATTGTGAAATAGATAGTTCCGACTGTTTGGATGAGCCCTGCTCAAACACAGTGTAAAATGCCAATAAATACACACTTAACTTTATATTCTGTATTAATATTCAAATTTGCTACGGTGCTTGGCAACTACAAGTAGCCTTCTGTTAGAAAATGAATTTCATTCGAAAGTTTGGGATCTGTAAGATTTTTTTTATGTTTTTGAAAGTAGCCTCTTATGCTCACCAAGACTGCAATTTATTTGAACAAAAATACTGTAAAACAGAAATATAAAAATTTTCAAAGAAGTTTTCTATTTTAATATATTTTGAAATGTAATTTATTCCTGTGATGGCAAAGCTGAATTTTCAGCAGTCTTCAGTGTCACATGATCCTTCAGAAATCATTCTGATAGGCTGATTTAGTGCTCAAGAAACATTGCTTATTATTAGCAATGTTACATTTTATAGTTTAATATTGCTTAATATTTTTGTAAAAACTTAAATACTTTTTTTTCAGGATTCTTTGATTAATAGAAAATTCTAAAGAACAGCATTTTTTTAAAATACAAATCTTTTTTTTTACATTATAATTGTCTCTACTGTCACTTTTGATCAGTTTAATGTATGCTTGCTGAATAAGTGTTCATTTCTTTCAACAACAACAAAAAAACCTTGACTCCAACCTTTTGAACGGTAGTGTATATTACTTGGCAGGATAATTATTTTGTTATTTACTGTGGCTAAAGTGGTTTTAGATACATAAATACTTATTTAACCATGGTGAAATAACTACACAGCTGCTAATGACTTACTGCTTGTTTTTGTCTTTAGGAACCATCTCCTGAAGTTGATTTTCCTGCAATCAAGTATGTAATTCAGGACGCTGACACAGGAAGTTGTTTACTGGAACCTTCTGACTTCTCTGAAATGCCTGGCATAGTCAGCAGACCAGTTACTGAAGAAACAAGTTCCCCACCTGCACTAACATCCCAACATTTGAAAGAATTAACAAGTGATAGTTGTCTGAAGCCTGACAGTGCAAATATAGCTGAGGAAAAGCAAAATGAGTGCACTGAAGCAGTTCCAGCAAAGCCAGGAATATGCTCAGAAACCACCATGTTAAAAGCAAGTGATGCCAATGAATCTGTAGATCAGAATGAAGTATCTATAAACACAGAAACGGGTACAAGTGATCAAGTGAAAACAACAAGCCCAAAGCCACGTGACACAGAGGCAATAAATGTTACTGATGGTGATCAGACCCGGACAGAGACTAAACCCATCGACGCCATAGCTCCTCTTATGCTCTCCTCCCAGCATACAGGATGTGTGCCACAAGAAGATACAACATTGGTAATTCTATGTGAAATCTAGGTGTAAACTGACATGTTTAATTTCAAGTATTTTTTGTATGACTAAATACTGCCCTTCCAACTCTCTAGGAAATACAGAGAGATGTTATTGAGGCCATGGTTCACCAGAGGAGCAGCAGCCAGTCTCAGGATCACACAATTCCGCACACAGCAACTATCAGTGATCTGTCACAGTCTGAAGGAGGAGGTGAAGATCAACTGAGTTTAGTCCAGCTTCTCACCTCATGTCAGGATGTCAGTTCTTTAGAGGTCAGTTTCAGCCCTGCAAACATGCTTACTAAAACCAAAGAACTACCCTGTGGGTGAACAAGCTCTGACATGTCTGCATTACCTTAAGATCTAACAAGAATTCTAGATCCATCAATTTTTAACATTTGCACTACTGTTTAAAAGTTAGGATTTTTTAAATGTTTTGAAATAAGTCTCTTATGCTCACCAAGGCTGCATTTGTTTAATATTGTGAAATATTACCGTTTAAAATGATATTTTTATGTTAATAAATATTAATTTATTCCTCTGATGGCAAAGCTGAATTTTCAGCAGTCATTACTCCAGTCTTCAGGGTTACATGATCCTTGAGAAATCTTGCCATTATGCTGATTTGGTGCTTGAGCAGTTTGTTATTATTGTCAGTGTAGTATTTACTTGAAAATGTAAAATTAAAATATAAATATCTATACTGTCACTTTTGAGCAACAAAATGCATGCTTTCTGAATAAAAAAGATTTTTTTTATGTTTTTGAAAGTAGCCTCTTATGCTCACCAAGACTGCAATTTATTTGAACAAAAATACTGTAAAACAGAAATATAAAAATTTTCAAAGAAGTTTTCTATTTTAATATATTTTGAAATGTAATTTATTCCTGTGATGGCAAAGCTGAATTTTCAGCAGTCTTCAGTGTCACATGATCCTTCAGAAATCATTCTGATAGGCTGATTTAGTGCTCAAGAAACATTGCTTATTATTAGCAATGTTACATTTTATAGTTTAATATTGCTTAATATTTTTGTAAAAACTTAAATACTTTTTTTTCAGGATTCTTTGATTAATAGAAAATTCTAAAGAACAGCATTTTTTTAAAATACAAATCTTTTTTTTTACATTATAATTGTCTCTACTGTCACTTTTGATCAGTTTAATGTATGCTTGCTGAATAAGTGTTCATTTCTTTCAACAACAACAAAAAAACCTTGACTCCAACCTTTTGAACGGTAGTGTATATTACTTGGCAGGATAATTATTTTGTTATTTACTGTGGCTAAAGTGGTTTTAGATACATAAATACTTATTTAACCATGGTGAAATAACTACACAGCTGCTAATGACTTACTGCTTGTTTTTGTCTTTAGGAACCATCTCCTGAAGTTGATTTTCCTGCAATCAAGTATGTAATTCAGGACGCTGACACAGGAAGTTGTTTACTGGAACCTTCTGACTTCTCTGAAATGCCTGGCATAGTCAGCAGACCAGTTACTGAAGAAACAAGTTCCCCACCTGCACTAACATCCCAACATTTGAAAGAATTAACAAGTGATAGTTGTCTGAAGCCTGACAGTGCAAATATAGCTGAGGAAAAGCAAAATGAGTGCACTGAAGCAGTTCCAGCAAAGCCAGGAATATGCTCAGAAACCACCATGTTAAAAGCAAGTGATGCCAATGAATCTGTAGATCAGAATGAAGTATCTATAAACACAGAAACAGGTACAAGTGATCAAGTGAAAACAACAAGCCCAAAGCCACGTGACACAGAGGCAATAAATGTTACTGATGGTGATCAGACCCGGACAGAGACTAAACCCATCGACGCCATAGCTCCTCTTATGCTCTCCTCCCAGCATACAGGATGTGTGCCACAAGAAGATACAACATTGGTAATTCTATGTGAAATCTAGGTGTAAACTGACATGTTTAATTTCAAGTATTTTTTGTATGACTAAATACTGCCCTTCCAACTCTCTAGGAAATACAGAGAGATGTTATTGAGGCCATGGTTCACCAGAGGAGCAGCAGCCAGTCTCAGGATCACACAATTCCGCACACAGCAACTATCAGTGATCTGTCACAGTCTGAAGGAGGAGGTGAAGATCAACTGAGTTTAGTCCAGCTTCTCACCTCATGTCAGGATGTCAGTTCTTTAGAGGTCAGTTTCAGCCCTGCAAACATGCTTACTAAAACCAAAGAACTACCCTGTGGGTGAACAAGCTCTGACATGTCTGCATTACCTTAAGATCTAACAAGAATTCTAGATCCATCAATTTTTAACATTTGCACTACTGTTTAAAAGTTAGGATTTTTTAAATGTTTTGAAATAAGTCTCTTATGCTCACCAAGGCTGCATTTGTTTAATATTGTGAAATATTACCGTTTAAAATGAAATTTTTATGTTAATAAATATTAATTTATTCCTCTGATGGCAAAGCTGAATTTTCAGCAGTCATTACTCCAGTCTTCAGGGTTACATGATCCTTGAGAAATCTTGCCATTATGCTGATTTGGTGCTTGAGCAGTTTGTTATTATTGTCAGTGTAGTATTTACTTGAAAATGTAAAATTAAAATATAAATATCTATACTGTCACTTTTGAGCAACAAAATGCATGCTTTCTGAATAAAAGCATTCATTTCTTTAAAAAAAAAATCTTAATGACCTCAAACTCATCGACGCCATAGCTCCTCTTATGCTCTCCTCCCAGCATACAGGATGTGTGCCACAAGAAGATACAACATTGGTAATTCTATGTGAAATCTAGGTGTAAACTGACATGTTTAATTTCAAGTATTTTTTGTATGACTAAATACTGCCCTTCCAACTCTCTAGGAAATACAGAGAGATGTTATTGAGGCCATGGTTCACCAGAGGAGCAGCCAGTCTCAGGATCACGCAATTCCGCACACAGCAACTATCAGTGATCTGTCACAGTCTGAAGGAGGAGGTGAAGATCAACTGAGTTTAGTCCAGCTTCTCACCTCATGTCAGGATGTCAGTTCTTTAGAGGTCAGTTTCAGCCCTGCAAACATGCTTACTAAAACCAAAGAACTACCCTGTGGGTGAACAAGCTCTGACATGTCTGCATTACCTTAAGATCTAACAAGAATTCTAGATCCATCAATTTTTAACATTTACACTACTGTTTAAAAGTTAGGATTTTTTAAATGTTTTGAAATAAGTCTCTTATGCTCACCAAGGCTGCATTTGTTTAATATTGTGAAATATTACCGTTTAAAATGAAATTTTTATGTTAATAAATATTAATTTATTCCTCTGATGGCAAAGCTGAATTTTCAGCAGTCATTACTCCAGTCTTCAGGGTTACATGATCCTTGAGAAATCTTGCCATTATGCTGATTTGGTGCTTGAGCAGTTTGTTATTATTGTCAGTGTAGTATTTACTTGAAAATGTAAAATTAAAATATAAATATCTATACTGTCACTTTTGAGCAACAAAATGCATGCTTTCTGAATAAAAGCATTCATTTCTTTAAAAAAAAAATCTTAATGACCTCAAACTTTTGAATGGTAGTATAGTTATAATAACTAAGAAGGGACAAGATGTAAAGCAGTTAATCTGCAGTTTGGGCAAAATTTACTAAAAATACAAGGTTATATTCATATCTAAAAAATTTAGAGAAGTGGCTGACAGAATATATTTCACAGAGGCTGATTCTGCCTTTCTGCATCTTTTTATTTCTTGCCTATAAAGTCGAGACAGCATCTGTTAGAGATTCCGGTGTCTGCGTTGAATGCCTGTGAATCACGGATGGAAGACTCAACTAAACTCCTCAAGGACATTTCAAGCATCAAGGTATTACCAATTCACTTGCAAAAGTCTACAGAATAAAACAAAACTTTTAGGGGGAAAAACCTAACCCTCCTCAATATGTAAATGACATTTATATGGAGTTAATCCACAGCATGAGTTTTTAAGAATTATTTAATATTTTCAAAATAAATAAGTAAGTATTGATTTTAGCTTCTCTGGGTACCTTTTGTCACTATAATAAGTGATCATGCAACAACGGTTTACTGTATAATTTTTTTTTAAATTATGTTTTAAAACTTTCCTAATGCACACAAACATACTTTAGAAAAGTGTGTAAAGATGTCTGATAAAAGGGTAGACGGCAACAGTTGCTAAGGTAGAACTGGTCTGTAACTACAAGTTCTGATCTAATGTGAGCGTTTGCTCTGTAAGAGTCTGCAAGGCGGCACATGGACTTTGGCACTTGAGCGGCGGAGATCGGCGGGACAGAATAATCTTGAGCTCCAGAGATGTTCTGGAGCTCTTCTGAAGGGTCTGCGGGGTCTCCTGGAGCTGGGCTCTGAGCGGCTGCTGCGCAGTCAGAATGCACAGCCACAAAACTGCAGTCAGCTCCACAGTCTGCTCACAGAACACAAGGTACACAGCTGATCAACTTAGTAATTATATTATTGTTCAAATAATAATACTACGTGTTTTTGTCTGCTTAATAATGTTTGGAATTGACTGTTAACAGAAATACTTCCAAGATTTGTGTCAGGACCTTGTAATGGTCAAGCTGCTATACCATAAGCTGCCAGAGGGGGCACTGCAGGGCCATGCAGAGGTTGAGCAGTTAATATCAGATCTACAGGATCAAGCACAAACTCATGGTGTCCACATGCAGCACAGCTTAGAGGTATATAAGGAAATTAACTTATTCAGACCTTAATGTTATCAGTCTTTTACAATGCATAACAATTTCTCATTATCTGTCTGAATTTAGTTCTAATTTAGTAAACCAAGATTTAATAGGAGTAAATGGCATGTATAAAATGTATTAAGAGAAATGAGCAACAGAAGCTCGCTCATCGCTCTGTATGTGTGTTGTAGGAGTGGTCTCGGTACGAGGAGCTCACTGAGAGACTGCGTAAGCAGTTGGATGAGATGGAGACAAACATGTCCAGTCTGGATTCAGAGCCAGAGGGAGACCTGCAGTCCTATGAGGTTTGTTTCCCTGCATCCCTGGGAACGCTAACGGCTGCCTTTCTTTGACCTTCTTTGAGGATAGGCCTCCTTTGATAGTTTTAGCTGTGTTTTACATTCTGTGACTTTGCATGGGAATGACAAAAACAAATTCCACCCTTTACGTTCTTGTCTTGTTTCACAGTTTAAATATCAAAAAATTAAGTTTCAAATTAAGTAAAATTGCATAAGGGGTGCATATTTTAGTGAGGTTTATGCTCAAGAAATAACAGGTATTATAAAGAACAATATATTTTTATACACTCTAGCATTCACAAATTCTTCCTTGATATAAATTAATACTTTCATTTGGCAAGAAGAAATTAAACTGATCAAAAATGACAGTAAAATATTTAAAATATCACATTTTTTGACAAAGCTATTAAGCACAGCTGTTTTTCAACCCTTCAATTTACAACAATTTGAAGGATCATGTGACACTGAAGTCTGGAGTAATGGCTGTTAAAAATTCAGCTTTGCCATTATAGGAATAATTATATTTTAAAATATATTTAAATAGAAAACAGTTATTTCAATTTTTACTATATTTGTAATCAACTAAATGGACACTTGGTGAGCATCAGACACTTCTTTAAAAAAATCATACCAACCCCAAAATTTAAAATTGTATTGTATATTTATTTGGGAATGAAGAAGAATAAACAAGAATAAATATGTAAATTTATTCTTGTTGAAAAATATACTTTAAAAAAATATATATTTTACTGAAAAAAGAAGACAATTGCAGATTAGGAAACTTATTTTTTTCGCTACACTGCCCCAGGTTGCGTTGTAAAGAATACATTAAAAAATATTTATAAATTTTTTATTGTTTTGACATTGTTTAATATACAGAATAACAGTATTTTTTTCGCTACACTGCCCCAGGTTGCGTTGTAAAGAATACATTAAAAAATATTTATACATTTTTTATTGTTTTGACATTGTTTAATATACAGAATAACACAGACAATCAGCTCTGCAACAGAAAAAACAAACAAAAAACAACAACATGATAAATGAAATAGAAGTATATCTATAAAAAATATATTATAATAATAATTTGGTTAAAACTAATCAGTTAAACTGAAGGGTGAATGGCCGAAATATACTAAACAATATTTAAAACCTCATATACTCCAAAATATACAAAGTACAAAGACTATACATGTACAAAAGATTGTCAAAAGAAATATATACCCATACAAAAATCTTGACATACAAACAATTGGAATAGCGCTGAAAGAAGTCTTCGTCAATAAAAAAAAAAAGAGGCAATTATAACCCAAACAGGGAACCTTAAACACGACTCTAAATCAATATATATGAAAAAATAAAAATGAAAAAAAAATTATTTAAAAAAAAGCCCAAGACCAGAAAAAAGTGTGTATTGAGGGGGGTGAATCTCCTTAATTCAAGTTAATAAACCTTTAAGCTTCTCTAAAGTATGAGCCCAAAGTCTAATGGTGTCCTCTCTGGCGCCATGAAGGCAAGCAGTGGACAGTTCAAGATACACCACATCTATAAAAGTGAGAACCCAATATTTCTTATTAATAGAATGTGGAGGCTTCCATCTTGTTGCAACAATTTTCGTGGCCGCTGTCAAGCCAGCTAAAAAGACTCGCTTCTGCATTTTGTTAAGTTGGATGTCCAAAAGATCATTTAAAATAAAGACAGAAGGGGACAAAGGGTTTGAGACCTTTAATATAGTGGACAGATTTTCTTTAACCATATTCCAAAAACTGGCAACCCCAGGGCAATCCCAAATCATGTGAAAAAAAGTACCAATTTCCCTTGTATGACACAGCGTGCAATTAGGATTGGGTTTAAGTTTCATGCAATTGAGTTTACGTGGAGTCATATAAGTCCTATGAATAAAGTTTAAATGGATTTGTTGAT